TTAGCTGTAAAACCTTATATCTGAGAGTTCGAAAAAGGTATTTTAATACATATTTTTTTGGTCTAAAAACTGATTGATAGGTTTAACTCTGGACGGTTTTGACCTGACAGTTAATCACGTAGACAATTTATTTTTTGTGTTAGGCCACATCGCGCTTCCGAGCGTTAATCCGAATTTATTTGAGATCGGTCTACTTCGTATTGTCTTCTAGATATACATAATATATGTACCGATATATTCGTTTGATTTTTTGTATTTTTTTTTTGTAGAATGCGATCGCAATATTCATTTTTCTTGTCTGTTTTCTGTGCTAACAATTAATAATTATAAACGCATCAAAAAAAAATTCCTCATCACTATCGTGAGGTAGGGTGCCCAAAAGACTAGCAGCATTGCCACGTTGAATGGCAAAAAATGCTTAATCTTTGCCCAAGGTAGAAGCTAGCCCTTCGTTCACTTGAAGTGTCAACCATTCTCCTTACAATATCTTTGTAAAGAAGATGTGCACTTGGGCCCCACGGCCCTAAAGTTTCAACCCCAAACGGTTCGAAAGCCTAATTGCCAATCAGGCTATTATACTTTCGCCGTTTGTGGTTCTCGGCAGCAGCAGTCACAGCACCAGCTCGACACGCTGAACTTGGAAGATGGGATGTCGCCAGAGTATCAACGCAAGTGGCGTCCCATACTAATGGCCTACCCACCTTCCAAGGGAATAATCCATACAGTCGGGTCTCTTGCCATCGTCGCGTACTAAGCTCAACGAATTATATGTCATTAATACTTGCATGTCATGCAAAACGGCCCGTACTAAACCGTGGTGTGCTGCAAGGTTGTTGACATTTATACCACAACGACAACGATGAGGTAAACAAAATGAACCTCCAATTGTAAGCTCCAATCAAGTTATTATTTTATAATTATTTATCACATTCATTAATTATTCAAGATAATGTGTATAATTACAATTCTCTCAGCTAACAACAACTCACACTACGTGTTAATGATCCTATATTATTAAACGTCTTCCTCGAAATATAATTATCTATGAAGATCAGTGTGATATGTATCACATAATACAAGCGTTGTTGTGTTAATATCAACTACAAACTTATTATAGAACTTGTCAAACTTCGATTGAAGTTCGGGCTTCAGATAAATTTGTTGTGGGTAATTTGTTTGTTGTGGGTAATTTTAAGTATCACTAACACTAGTCTATAAGAACATTGTTACTAACAATTTGGACACAGTGGTCTGAAATAAAAGTATTATTATTATTATTATTATAAAGATAATCTCTTCTTCGGAGCTGTCCATCTATTGGTTACTGGTAACAGGATCTTAGTGTCTTCTCAAAATCTTAGTGGACTCTTCATTAGGTTAGAGTCTTGAGTTCTCTTGAATTTTATGTAACATATTCGATTATGTGATCGTAATCGTTAAAGCATCCCTCTTTAAAAAAAGTAGTTTTGGGATATCTAGTTACAGAATGTATCAGGTGATCCATAACTTCGTATGTAGGTAATTTACTTATTTTTTAACGACAACACAAATTATGTGCACTCCAGACGTTACTATTTTTATAGTTTCCATGTCTCAAAATTTCAATAAACTCTTACTTGTATACAAAGTAACAAAAACGTGTTATTTACATCAGAAAGCTAATTAAAAGCTACAGGTACATTAATGATGAAAATATAATCGTAAACCTGACAGAAGGAGGTAAACATTCTCATAATTATAATAATTATAACTCGTCGTTTCCACTCGTTTGAGTTTTGGTGCTGTCGCAGCAGAAATCTCATTTAACTGGGGGATTTTGCTAATTTAAAGGATTTGAATTGAAATGCCAAGACTCCAAAGGAAGTGTGCGCGGATAAATAGAAAATGAGTTCCGTGTTTGTTTGTATTAATCATGGAGGCCTATGTTCAGCAGCAGACGTTTTGTGCCTGATATAATGACGGAACGTAGAATTTATTTTCGTGTTTTGCTTTAAAGACTTAGCATAATTCGATATAAACGTGAAGAATATTTGAGTTTAGCACCTATTATTCTAAACAAGGATTAGATAGATAATGATGCATGCCAATTTCAAGCATGAAACCATGCTTCATTTGAGCACTTGTCATCATTTTTTTGTGCGTCGAAATCTTGCTCAAAATTAGTATGCTTATTACAGGCATGTTTGTGAATTGACAGACGTTCGATTTTTAAACATTTATGAGAATGCTCGATAGAACGCCTTACCTATAGCATGCCATTTTAGACCATCTGTAACAGTACCTTTAGTATCGTCTTTCACAAGATCGCAATAAAATTCTCTTCCCACAAGAGGTTTATTTAAATCAAAAACAAATAATAGCGCTCGGCGCTCGGTGCGACGTAAAATATCCCATCTGCTTGGTGGTAAATGTAAATGCTTCTCCTGGGAGCAGTCGGCGTATATCACATGAGAAGTGTGAGGCTTTATTAGCATAGTATGATCGACGAGTTAATGCTATCAAAGTTATACAGAGATGACATGTTTGACCTTGAAAATTGTATTTGTGATGGTATAGCAACTATTGGCTATTGGTGTGTTTGTGTGAAACCCTCTGATGAAAATCTCTGTAGTATGTGAGTTAGAAAATATGATAGATATTAATATATTTCATCCAAATTCGTTATTACCATTCGGTATTTATTTTCATTATCAAACGAAATTGGTATTTCTGACCGATTTTCGCACATTTTCAATGTTCTCTGGCATTAAATCAAGATGTGAAAAAACTCGATCAATACTACAACAAAAATACCTTTTAATTGGAGCAAAAATTACTTTCCTTGTTTAATAAACAACACGAAAGAGTTTTTCGAGGCCAGCGAATTTCTATACAATTTCCGCGACCCAAAATTAACAGACTGCCTTAAAACATTACAAATTATGATTGACGTCAATATTAGAGGCTCTTTCAAAACATTCAGCTTCTGGACTCTATTTTAATTACCTATCACGCTATAATTAATAAATAAAGAGCTAATTTTATTTAAGGTATCCCTAGAATTTATGTTCAAGAATTTAAAGGCCGAAGAGTAATTATGAATGATTGGATTTGTTTTACAATAATAATAATGGATCCGGTAATTAGAAAACAGTGGCTTTGGAAGTTTAATATTACAACTAATATACTGAACAATATTTTGGGAGTAAGAAACGTTTCGCGTCAAGCTTCTTTGTGCAAACCGCTAGGAAATGGAATTCTGTGTTTCCCGACAAATATAACTTGGGTGTCTTCAAGTCACGAGTGAACAGGTTGCTCATAGGTTAGCGTGCTCCATCGTCGGCCACATCATCGCATGCCACCAGGCGAGATGGTAGCGAAACGTCAAATTATCAAGTATAAAATAAATAATAATAAATAAGCCAATCAGATGACGCAGTACTGCTTAGCTGGGCTTACTATAGGTGTCCATGCACAATTAGTGATACTGAAGTTAAAAAACGGGCACGTATAATAATATATTAGATGTCAGTACCGATTAGAGTTTGTTTATTTTTACGACAATGATTTTTTGGACATTAAAATAGTAGCAAAAATCTTTCGCCCAGTGCTTCACGTGTACGGCATTAGTAGGATTTGTTTGAACAATGAATATTTTATTTTTTCTGGCCTTAGGCCAATTGTGATTTCGCAAATTGTGTGGGCTGGTGTTGGCATCGTCTCATATGAGGACTGAGTTCTTACTGAATCATGAACAGCCTAGAACACACATATGTATTAGTATGACATGCTCAAATCGAACCTTAAGATAAATATAGATAATTTTAGATATTAGGTATATGAAATTGTGCTGGATATTCACTGAAAAAACACACACAATGATAGCTGGTTTCACAATTCAGAATATTGGTCTCAATTACGAACAAACTCGTTTAGGAAAAATGGGATAATAATATCAAACTGTATGCCAAATCTACCTCTTACAATTACTTAGCAGTTCCACGTTCTTGTAAATATTTCAACGAATTTTAACATCTTTTCATTGGGACTAAATTGTTTGTGGTTTTTTCCAAAACACGCGACAAAAAGATCAATTTCGACCAAATTCTCGTTTGTCTGTATTCTTTAGGTGTTTTTTCGGAACCTTTTACGGACAAAGGCCAATAAATAATAAATGTCGGGTATCGAGTTGATATTCTAAGAGTTTGTTCATTTATTTGGTAACTGACGCCACGATCCGAATTCCGAACGAACTTCTGCGAATTTTATAAAATCTCCAACTTTGAAGGACTTCTCGAAAAGTAGGTTTATCAAGCAAAGTACAAAGAGACTTTGCCACTACTTTTAATTCTCTGGTTTTAAAGAAGTCCTGTTATAAAGTGAGTTCTAAGTTTCTGGGTGTTTGAAGGGACTTTATTTATCTATTGTAATGTTCTAGAAGTATTTACTTAACCTTAAATAAGTAATAGGTCAGATGTGGAGACCTTTTTATACTTATTGTTCTTATTTTATACATTTTTTCATTTGATGTGGCCGACGATTGAAACCCGGAGAACCTAACGGGTAACCGGGGCTCCGGCTCGACGTGCAGGAGAAGGAACGGGGTGATTTTTAGTCAGTAAGAGTCTGACACTCCCTCCCGCCTCACCCAGGCGGGAGCTGTCATTCGATGATTTTCCCCCCTTAAAAAAAAAGGCGTGCTGCCTACTATACGTATATAAGCAGTCTATTCATACAGGTCAAGGCAGTTTGTACATTCCCAGGCTGTATGTACCCTTCTGGAAATACATATTCTGGCTTCTTCTGATCTTGCCAATAGGAACCGTGATATAAATATCTCACACTTAATTATATTTATATACACCGGGGCATCCCTGATATAAACATAATCATATCGATGTAATTGCGTACAAGTAATAAGCATAATCAGTTATTAAAAAAAAAATTATACACAATTAATGAATGTTCGCAAACATATTAATATTTATGCGATAAACAGATACAGAACAGATAAAATGAAATCAAGTAATGTTATACATACCAATAAAGTAGCTCAAGTCTATCAGTAGTGTCAACTTGTAACAGTTGCAGTTTGACTTGCTGAAGTACACTTGGAGAGCTGCCAGCTCGCTTATGTTCCTACCTGCTCTGAAAGATGAAGAAAGAAGAAAATATTATACTTATTGGTCTTTTAGCAGGAGATCTGAACACATAACCTTATGGTTAATTACACAAACAATGTTGAAAAACGACGGAATAAGACATAACTAGTTTTTAGTGACAACTTAAAAAGGATTAAACCACAAAAATGTCAGTGGGTTATTTGTGTGTGCGTGTGTGTAATGGGCTACTTAAGAAAATGACAGATGTCCTTCGTGTCAGTGTATGTGTGTATTCTGCGTGTAAGTCAATAGTAGCCAAGTGCCACAGTCGTTGTTTCAAAAGGCTGTATCCGCCTTTTTTCAATGCCCCTGACTAATGCTAACTATTTTTCTTGTCTCACTATATCTTATTAAGCAAAAATACTCTTTACTCATTATGGAATTTAATTTAAAATCGCTTGAACCTTGTGATACCATTATTCAAGCGCTCAGAATGTTTAGTGTAATTTTCTTAAATTTCTATCAGAAGTATGAAATTGGTTCGCTCTTTGACAATTGGAGCGCTATAATTTACAAAATAATAACTTTATGACGTATACAAGAACTTAACTTTATCATTTTGTACTGGTTTAAGGTGTATTACTGAGGAAATAATAAGTTTTAAGGTATTAAATTAAATAAATAGACAGAAAACTGACAGTTTTCCACCAAATTACCTAAAAATCGCGCCGATGACGCGCAGCCTACAGCCTGCAGCCGCGACTCCTAAAGTATATTCACGTGAGTAACCCACGATTTTTAGATAAATTAGTATGTCTCACAATAGTTATCAAAAAAAGTTTCCAACTAGTTTATATCGCCACGGAAGCAATTAATAAACTCTCAATAAATTGAGCGAAAGGTCATGACAGACTCTGTGGCATTTGTGGGTTGTTAATGAAACTTCCGACCAGATTTTAAAACAATTTAAACCTTACAGTTTTAGAATAAAGTTTTTAATCAATTAAAAGTTTAAAGACGTGGGCATAAATATATCTTTTTACATCTACATGCACTTTTAATCAGTTGTGATATAAGTCCTATGTAGTTGCAGTAATGATATCGGAGGTGATTGACTTCGTATTGTATATAATATACAAGGTGTCCCTGAAGTCGATGATCAAACGGTACCAGGTGATCGGCAAGATTCCAACAGTAACTAAACTAAGACGAAAATTTTATTGAGAATACTTGGTTCATGAAATTACGACATTATTTTCTAAACTAAAGCAGTTGGCTAAGAATTTAAGATTCAATAATACTGAAGCACTATTCAGGATAACGTGTGCAAAAATACAGACAAAAAAAATATAGAATTGTAGCAACAAGAGTTAAAAGACTGGCACAGGGTGTACTTTTTCATAGATAACACATAAGTCATTGTTATTTAAAAACTATTTGACTTGGATTTTTTTATTATTTTTCTGATAACTGTAGGGACCTTGCCAATCACCTGGTGCCATTTGATCGTTGACTTCAGGGACACGATATATATATTAATAAAATGATTTATTCATTAATATTCATATATTCGTCACATAAATACATATTTAAAAGCCGAATGGAAGGAGTAGAAGATAACTCTACTCCTTCCATTTCAAATTCCTAGTATCGTTTAAAAACAAATTCTTGGCTATGAATAATATTAAATGAAATGGAAAGGTTTCTGAGAAACCTGATACGTCTTTTTATTCAAGTTGGTAAAGCGTGGGAGTGTTTGAATAGCTACAACGTAATCCAAAAAGGATTATAAAAAAATATATGTATCTAAAATTAGGATTATTATTCAGATTTCCCTTGAATGTTCTTAATGCTTGTCTGTCGTCGACGTTAATAATTCATTTCGTGCTGGAGACCTCAGAATCCGGGCTCGTGATTTAATACAAGATAAGTACCTGAATGACCGAGCTTTCAAGATAATACTTGTTTTACTCTTTGTTGATTTTCAACAGAATTCATTATAATAGCCATTTGCAATTTGGAGGTTACTGTCTGTATTATTAGTTTTTCGGTCAATAGAGAATTAGTCAGTGTCATACCATTGAATGTTCAATATTTGGCAGCTGTAGTGAATGGACAGAAAATCTCTTGCTTGTACAAAAAACGATAGCCCTTATAACGAAAATTATAATTATGATCATGAGAGTATGGTGTAAAAATGACGCTTATAATATTCAATAACAAGTAAAGACCTCCATTGCTAGAGACATTGGGTTCTTTATGCTCTTGCATAATGAAAGAAATAGAGTATTGTCGGAGGATCTTCTCTTACCAGGTACAAGGACATATTATTAAAATTGTGTTCCCCGAACATCGTATACGATATTGAAGAAGGAAATGTATTGTCATAATCATTAATTACAGATACATAAACATGTAAGGGATACATAATTATCACTTGTTTCACACACAAAAAGCGCTTTTCTATTTCCTCTGAAATTCGCTTAATGTTCATTATACATGGAAAAGGGTATAATATAATATTGAAATTGAAAATTTGCTAAAAGGTTCTTCCTCGGATGTTTCCAAGCAGACGTGGAGCGTCAATTATTGTGTACGAAACACCAATTTAAAAGTTTGTTCGAGGCAGAACAGGCTTTGTTGTTGAATTAAATGAATATTAATGTAAAAGGTTTTGATCCGGGTCGGATAGCATTCGAAAAACTGAAATAATTGTTTTGAAAGGATTCATTAGTTAATTTTGAAGGCAAGGATACACTATGGGACAAAATGTCCTGCGACACGAACCGCTTGCGACGTTGGGTGGAGTACCGTGACGACGAGTATGATATATAAGACGTCGATTTTGATCGACACATAGATAGAAAGAAAGAAGCATGAAAGAAAAAAGACCATTTATTGCTCCACGACACACATGCATGTCTGCATGTGTCGTGTTCGGGAGGTACAATGCAAGAACACACGTCGCATCGTCTGACAACGTCGACATCGCCATGGACACAAGTCGCACGTTGTCGCTATACTATGTATGTCGAAATCGGCCGGCTTCGCTTGTCATGTCACCGATGTATGTTGTGGAAGCTTAGCAAGCAGAAGTATTATTTTAGAAATCATGCAAAGTTTTATAATTTCCAGAAGATTTTTTTTTAATAATAGAATGTCTACGGTACCAATTTTTGTTTTATAATTATTTCTTTCTTTATTTAAGTTCGTTATATAAAACTTTTACCAGTATAATATAATACTTGGCCGCTTATAAAGAAATACTCAACTTTATACCAGTAATTATAAGTTTTAAAACTCAATAATTGGCGTACTAAATTTACCAGTTTCTTTTTAAATTATGTAGGAATTATTTTTATTTGCTACCAACTAATAATGAGCCATACTTCAAATAATACAGGAACTAAACTGCGGAGTCATTGTAAGCTATTTCGAACTTTTACCAAATTATCAAGGTTTTATGAAATTTACATTGTTTTGTTTATAATTAGCTAGTTTTCTGCTCATGGATCCACATGCGTGGTAAATAAAATACGTTACACCAAAACCTATTTAGTCATTGGTAAATACCGTACAAAATTAGTCCGATACATTTTTTTTTAGTTTTCAGTTTATCGCGTTCCTAGCTTGCTGTGATCGCGGGCCTCAGAGCCATCAGATCACCATAGATTAGCTGATGCCCAATACAGAGCCGCTGAAGGCTTAACGGGTGGGTTGCCGGGGCTCCAGCTCGAAGACCAGAATTAGGAACGGGGTGGTTTTTAATCTGTAAGAGTCTGACACTCCCTTTCGCCTAACCCAAGGCGGGAGAAGTCATTGATTGATTTCAAAAAAATGATGAGATTAAACTTAAACCTGCTTGCCGCATTTTTAACATTAAAACTGTTAAAGATAATTGATGAATTACGTAGTAAGTTGAGTTTAAATATTGATGTTTTAGTACCTATCCAGTTTATATCTACCCACACTCACGTAATTTGAGAAGACTAGGACTCTGAAGTTTTGTATGGTAAATATTTTGATTGTAGAATTCTGGTAGAAAGAACTGCAAAGGCCTAAGGCAAATCATTTAGAAACTTGGTAAAGTAAGCAAAAAAGCTCTGAAATTCTAGAGATTTCATGGCTATTTTTCTTTACTACGTAGAAGTCAGTACAGAGTCTTTACTAGACATGATTAAACATCTATCTATAGAAATAAAAATGCCGCGGAGACCCTTAGGGGTTCCCGGGGCTCCGGCTCGACGTGCAGGAGTAGGAACGGGGTGGTTTTTAGTCAGTAAGAGTCTGACACTCCCTTCCGCCTCACCCGGACGGGAGAAGTCATTCGATGATTTCCCCCCCCCCCCTTAAAAAAATAGAAATAAAAATGAATTTCCGTTCGTAAGTCTCGCATCGTATTAGTCTTGAAATGTTCGTGGAAGTTCAGGGAAGGTTTAATAGGTGAGAAAATAAAGTTGGGGCGGTACGAAGTTAGCCGGGTCAGCTAGTCTATATACCTACGTATTCTTATGCGACTTCAAAAAAAAAATTATTTATCATTAATTTTATTGTAACGTATTTTGATTGATTGTATCGGTGACCTTATTTAGTTTATTTACTTTATGTTAGCTTATATTCTCATGTAAATGGCTTCCTTTGTCTTTTTGAGAATAAACTATTTAAACCAAAAAGGTGTCGACGTCGATTTTTTTATTAATATAGTTTATAATAATTTTAGATCAAATGACTATTAGTCCTACAGAACTTAACGGTGTTAATACCCAGCAGTACATATATAAACGAGATGATCAAGATCAAGTTAGTTAGCGTCTTGTTCAGATTTTTCTGTTTTAATTTTTTTACTCACTATTCATCTCACTTTTACTGCCATACTATCTTTTATTGTCTCTTAAATATTTAATTATTTATTAACCTGGTGTTGAATAAATGTTTTATCTAACTATTACCTCTACTATATGTTAAGCGGCTTTGATCCACTCTTGTATTCACAAAATAATTTTAATGTACTGGATAACCATTGTAATGCATTAAATTATCATTGCCATTGGTATTGTATTGTATTATAAACAGAAGCAGGTTAAGTCTAGAGAGTGCACTATGCCAATACCTAATAGGCGCCTAATTTCTTTTAGCACCGCTGCCACCCTATGAGCAGCTATGAGTAATGATCATAAGGTAAATACATACGTGATTTCTTCAGGGTAGTTGTCGGCCAAGAATGGAGTCAGATCACTTGTGGCTGTGTACTTCTTGTCACGGCACTCCATGTAGCAAATAGGATCACACTTCATCTCCATCGTAGATCTATTCACTGTAACAAAAATATGTATGTACCTTTTGGTAAAGAGAGGAAAAATAATAGTCCTTCTTCTGATCCTGTGGGTGATATAAAAGCTAACTAAGGGATTATACATTTCACAGAAGCCTAGTAGCATCACTCTCTGATATATATGAACCTTTTTCAACAATTTTCAACTCCGACCGCAATTTTATAGACATTACGAGAAACATTCTTATGTAGAAGAGGCCCATTGTCAAACAGTGACTGTCACGTGCTTTTGATGTTATTCAAACGATAATATAATTATTATATTGTCCTTGTATAATTAATTATTTAGATTACACGATAAACACAGTGCCTTACATTTTCAGTTCATAATGTAATTAATCACAAAATCAATCTATTGTATCCGAATACACAAGGCAAGAGTGAACTCATATAAATTCAGAAAATTCGAATATTAACAAATCATAAATTGACCTTGAAATTGAATCAAGAGGCAAGTAACTAATTGAACGTAAGGAAGGGCTCTTATGCCTTGTTTGTGTTAGGCTAGTATGTTAGTTGAGTCTGTAGTAAATCTTTCTCGCTTCTGTCTCAAAATCAAGAAGAACTGAGAGAGGGATGTAGGTACTAAATACTAGGTACTCGGCTAAAACATTAGCGTATTGTGAACGAGGCATAAGTTTCTAAGTCGGTCGATTGAATTCATTCATTGAGGGCGGTCTACTTTCTGCAATGGTCGGGTTGTGGTTAATAGTACAATGACATAACA